TTAAAAAATTTTCTTTAATTTAAAACTATAAAATAATGTAATTAAAATGTAAGGTAAGATATTTAAAGCATTAAATAAAAAATTTAATTTTTTTCAAGAAAAATCCATTAATTAATATATACAAAAACGTAAATATTTGGTATCTTTCTCTCGTGTCATCATCTATCTCTACTTTACTCTACATGATACTATTTTTCGGTTGATTAAATCGTCGAGTAACATAACTTAATTGTATCGATAGATGTTCAAGTAGTCCAGCTATCAATGACTATAATGTATCAGCTTTATCTTCGACAGCTGCAATTTAGATCTTAGATAATTTTCATCATCATTTAATCAACTAACTCGTGTATAATTAAAGAGGAAAAGAGTTTTAAAAAAAAATAATATTAAATCAAAATCGATAATTTTTATTTAAAATATTAAAAAAAAAAAACACAGATAAGTTCATTGTAACGTTTAAATCTCATTATAGGTTTACGACCCCATTATTATCATGGGCTAATGTCCAAAATAACCGAGTTATCGTAAAATTTTATATTTAAAACGTTAAAAGATCTAATAATATTATTTTAAAAAAGAATTTTATAGGAATATACGCCTTAGTTTTCTTTAAAAAAAAAAAATAATAAAAGAAGGCACGTTATAGTTTGCAATCCACTTAAAATCTCCCCCAAAAAATCTGATTGATTGAAAGTTCTTATATTTCTTTTATCTTTTATTTTTTTCTTTTTTTTTAAAAAAAACATAAAAATAAAGGANAACTATAGCTGGGTTACAGACGATTTTGATCAATCTTCAAGTTTATAGATTAAACTATAGCTCGGTTTCAGACGATTTTGATCAATCTTCAAGCTTATAGGTCAAACTATAGCTGGGTTACAGACGATTTTGATCAATCTTCAAGCTTATAGATCAAACTATAGCTCAGTTTCAGATGATGTTGATCAATCTTCAAGCTTATAGATAAAACTATAGCACGGTTTCAGATGATTTTGATCAATCTTCAAGCTTATAGATCAAACTATAGATCGGTTTCAGATGATTCTGATCAATCTTCAAGCTTATAGATATAACTATAGCTGGATTATAGACGATTTTGATCTACCTCAAGCTTAAATGCAGAACTTTTTCAGAGTACCTTCATCCTTTTTAAGCTTGATAGATCTAAATATTCTTCATTCGATCGATGCTCGAATTCAATGAAGATGCTCAGTAAACAGAAAGATATGATCAATTTCCAAGCTTAACAAAACAGTTGTAAAAATTCTATCTCATAAAAATCGAACGAAGATGAATTCAACTTATTTGTAAATGTAAAAAAGAAACTGCTCGAAATTGAATAACTTGTAACTAAATTAAAGTTAATGCCTTGATTTATTTGTTGTTATATGAAAGTGTAAGCCACGTAACAAGAAAATTTTCCAGTAAATTCCTCAAAAAGTCTATGCTTAAATAATTATTCTGTATACAGATACATGTGGTATCTTCGTTATTAATAGTTTCATTTAAGAATATTTAAAACGTGAAGTTATTTATTAAGATAGAAACATTTTATCGTTATGAAAGAACTTAAATTGGGCAAAAATGATGACATTTTTATAAATTATTCGAGTTTAAATTGATGAAAAACGACAAAAATCTCTACAAAAATTGTTTACAAAATTATAATACTTGTAAAAATATTAAAACTCCATACACATTAAATTTATCGATTAATTTTGGATAAAAGATTACAAGAAAAGCATTAAATTAATGTAATAATTTTATAAATGACCCTAATATTATTAGAAAATCAAATAATATTTTGGACTTGACTATATACATTGGAGATACATACAGTAGTCTATTGGACTAATGAACAATTAATTACAAGAAACTGGAAGATGGCCAAAATATATATATATAATTTCATTTATTAATCATTAATGAGTTATTTTAATGTATAAAATTTTATTTTTTTCTAAGAAATTTTATTTAAAAATCAAATCAACACGTTCGATGTGTGATTTACGTATTTTACGTTCTATATGACCCATGTGACGAATATCGTCCGGCCGTATGACGTCACCGGGTCGAGTTGACGTCATCGGCGCGGATGACCGGATCCCGTCTAACCGTAATCCAATCAAGAGACGAGGCGATAGGGGCAGCCATTAGCCATAACTGATGTCTGACGATTTCTGATGGATCGACACATGTACCACGCTCGCAGCACCCTCTGGCGACTGGAAATTCGTCGTCCGTAACGCGATTAGTAAAAGTTTTTAGCCACCCCCCTCTAAACACTGACCGCTTCTCCTAATGGGAAATTCTATTATAGGTAACGATGATAGATGATCAGCAAGAAGTGAGTCTCCCCTCCACCGCGCTCTCTCCTCTTCTACTATCGTTTTTGTCTTGTTGAACCTCGTACACGTGGCCTTCTGAATACTAATATGTCTATTTTATTAAGTTATTTTTAACTAAGTATTTCCCGTGTTTTATGTTTTAGTATCACCTATTTAGAAATTTAAGTTCACAGCTTCTAATTTATTAGGTTCTTCGAATTTAGAACACAAGTTTGCTGCTTGAAGTCTTAGATTCAAGTTTAGAACCAAAAGTTTACAGTTTAGAGCCATAAATTTAGAACTTCCTTGGAGTTTAGAAGCAAAAGTTGGAGCGTAGAGTTTACGGATCTTATATTTACAACCATAAAGTTAGTATTTCAAGCCTTAGGTATTGCACTCTACGGCACGAGTTGACACTCTATGGCGCGTAGAATCAATTAGTCCATCTTTTAATCACTACCCAATAACGCAACACGTAAGAAAAACGGTTGGAAAAATCAGTTACACAACTTAACGTAGCAGTAATAGGTGTATTTTTAATCGTTGTCATACTTCACTCTACATAAAAATAGACGAAGTGGATTTTATAGAATGGAGAACAAAACGGCTCAACGCTCTCCAATTATCGCGTGTGGATGTGATGGTCCCATTACTGACACAATAACGATGACGTATTTACAACGCTCTGTACAAAAGAGGAAATAATTAAGCTAAAATCTCTCGCTTCTTTCGCAATAAGACAATAGGGAACAATAAGTTACCAGCCTTGGGGACGACGCGACACTTAATCAGTGGAAAAGTTCACATGCAAATCGTCTTTACACCCCCCATCTAGAAACTAATGGTCCATACACTTTTGTCCCCGTGTCCTATGAGAGAAAAGAGCAGCAAGTAAAGCGAAACCATTTTGAAGTCTACCAAACAACGACCTGTGAAGTCTATACCCTCGAGATTTTTGACACGTAAATTCCAGTAAAAGTAGCACGTACGTGTATATTATACACTATAGATGAAGTATAGTCGAAAAATTCTATCTTTTAAGAAGAAATTCTATGTTTTTTCTCGAATTTAAACTTCCTATTTTCTATGTTTACCCCCTCCCGTTTAACGCCTGCCAAAGTACTGTACAATACATACAAAGCATCCTGTTGTACAGTACTTTATTATAAAGATGTGCTTTTAATTTTAAAAATTCGAGATTAAAATTTAATTTTTTTCAGTTGTTAAAATTTATAATTTTATTTTCAAGCGTTAAAGATTTAAAATTGAAATTGATCAAAATACGTTGTAACGGTTTAAGGACATGTTATGACAGGTTTAAACATGTTTAAAATTGTAGAAAATTAAATTAAATAAATGAAAAATTTTAAAAACATTTTAAATTATTATTTAAAAAAAAATGAATATAAAAATCATAATTTAAATAAGAAAAAAAGCCCACAATTTCAATAATTTTAAATTTTTAAATTATTTTTAGTAAATTTAACCAAAAAATAATTTAATTATAAATTTATATTAAACTTGTAATGTATAATTATATACTGAAATAGGTTATGTGATGATTAGAGTAACCATACGCCCGAGTTTGTTCTTGATTTCTCCTGTTTTTAACCCACAAAGATAGAAGTTTGTTCCTGATTTCTCCTGTTTTTAACCCACAAAAATAGAAGTTTTCTTAAAAAAAAAAATACAACCTAACACAGTATATTGATTATACTGTATAATATATGCCTATAAATAATTTTAAATAATCTAAATTTATCCATTTTTTTAGACCCCTTTTTAACTGTTAAAGACTGATAAACAGTATGAAGTTTTGAGAAAAATTATTAATTTTTTTAACAATTTTTTTATATATAAAATTATAAATTATGTAACATCTCTGACACAGACAAACAGGTACAGTTTTATTAATCATAGAAGTGCTTTTTTTTAAATTCTGTTACAATTTTTCTTTTCCTATTATTATTATTATTTTTTTTTTCGGGAATCAAAGGGAGAAGAATTTTTATTCATTTTTTTCTTTCAAAAAAAATCCAAATATTTTTTTTTTGTTGTTGTTATTTATTATTATTATTATTTCTTTTTTTAAATCGTTTTCACATTTAGGATGAGGTTGTGCTATTTAGGAACATATCAAACAATCAAATTCGACGATTTCTGTTTAACTATATTGTTCAAATGGTCCTTTAATTGGCCACGAATTCACACTACACCATCTAGGATTCTAATTGAAGGATTCGCTAAAAGAAGCGTCCATTATTTTCAGGTATATCAGTACCTGTTCCTTTGTTTTCAAGTGTTGTTTTGTTTATTATTTTAATCTGTTGTCGAGTTTACCAACACTTTTAACCGTTGTTGGATCGTTCAACATCATAATGCGTGCAGCAAAATATTGAGAAACAAAATAGTTCTCGATTGAGATTGGTCGGAAGAATGGAATAAGAAGAAAAATAAACGTAGAAATTAATGTTATTTTATGAATATTAACTGCGTAACACATTAATTGTTCTTTTCTATTTACAAGTCATAACTTAAAGGGGAGGAGGAGGTGAAGGTAATGTTTTAAAAAAGTTGTCTAAATATAAGCACATATAATTTACTAATGGATTAAGTAATTATTAGAAATAATTTTTTTTTAGTAAATTAACTAATTAAATATATGCATTAATACAGAAATTAAAAAGAAAGAATAAAAAAAATTAAAGAAAAGTTGCATATTTACTATCTTATACAATGTACAATTATCATTATGGATTATGTAAAATGAATTGTTCATTCTTCATTAGATATCATAGAGAAGACCTATTTATTACTTCAAGCTCTTGGTGTTGCATGTCAAAATCGTTGCTGATGAATGAACTGCTTCAAGTTGCTATTCGCATAGACTTACAATCAACGATGATGTGACTTAGATTGTCCATAGAGGTGTGGTGCACCAGAGAGAGAGAGGAAAAAAAGAAAAAAAATGGTAAAAAAATCGTTAAAGTTTTTAGGGCAATTCGATTGCTATCCAAAAAAAAAAAATTCACACACACACACACGCTCAGTTATATCTAAAGTTTTAGATGCTAATTACTAAATAAATCCATCATCCGATCAATCTAAATCAGAACATTTCGCGAAATACATCACTCGAAACACGTCTACAATCAAATTATGTTATATACAAAATTATTTATCTTTTTTTTTTTTAGAACAAGGAAACAATCGAATGAAGTGATGGCCTTCTATCTGGCACACCGTCTTCCTTTTTCCTTCCTTGAACATTAACTTCGGCTTCGGGACCACACCTACCCACTTCGCTAAACACTCTGGCACTATGTTCCAGAGCTTTAGCACGTAAAGATGCTATACTGTTCGATCTAAGTTCTTCTTTGTTAGATACCTGTGTTGTTTGTTGTTCCTCTCCAGATGTTTTAGGCTGTTCAACCTTTCGTGTTCCCTCGTCCATAGAGTGTTGTTGATCTTCGGAATCGCTCACATCCTTCAGTTTCTCTGCAGCTTCCAGAGATTTCCTATGCATCCCTGTTGGACGACACATGATGTCAGTGTTAGCTTCGTATCCTCCCTTCGTGATTCTAAAGAAATAATAAGGCATTCATTGCCACCTAATGTGAATTTTTAACATTTTTTTTTTTTGTTTTTTCATCGTATAAACTCTAATTTCCACCGATTTTAACCCATTAAAATTTAGAAAAACAAACAAAAAAATCGTTTATAAAATTGATCTTCGCTTAGCAAGACAATGGACGCCTTAAAATTTTTTTTAATTAAATTAATATTTAAAAATAAATAAACCATTAATTAATTATACAAATTAAAACTTTAATATTAAACTATATAATGACTTAAACGTTTGTTTAAGTGTTATATTTATATTGGAGAAAAGTTTACTGGAGGTTGATGTGGTGAAGTGGAATGAAATGTATGGAGTGAAATCCACATGTGTCAGTTTGTAGAACACAGGCGTTGAAAAGCAGCCACTCAAAACGAACATAATTAGGTATAGTAAGCATTGAACTGACGAATCCCTACCAACAGTCAGTCATTTAGGGAAAGGGGACCCATTCGCCACCAGAAAACCGTGACGGAGGGATAGTAATTTCCCTAATGACCGATTTATTAGACATCACTTAGAAGGGGTCTGTCGATAGCTTACAAAAATTCGTACCTAATATACTGATGACTGTACGATTCCCGTGGGGGAGACACACCTCCGATTTCCATTAGTTGATGTCTCCGGACAAAAATAAGGACTTTCCTCCCCCCTTTTCGTCGGTGACGTCATTCTGACGTTAAATCGTTTGATATGAAACTCACGATTCCTCGACTTTTTCTTTTTCTTTTATTTATTATTATATATATATTTTTTTTTTCGTAATTTTTTTTTCTTTGGGGGAATAACAATTGTAGAATGCAAAGTAAAAAGATACAGAATTATATATTTATATAGAAAACAATTAAAAAAAAAATAGAAAATATGGAATAGAGAAATTGCCCCATTTTATGAGGAATCGAAACTGCGGACCCATGGAAAAATGCCCCATTTCTTGAGGGATAACGATTGTGCGTGATTGAAAAATGTCTCCCGTTTAGTGTAGATTAGAAATCGAGCTATTAAAACATACCTCATTTGCTGAAGACCAGGAATCGTATCAATAAAAGAATGCTTCCCTCATTTTTTTGAGAACAGGGGATCGAGGTATTAAAGAGTACCCAATTTCTTGAAATCTGAGGATCCACGTATTAAAAAATATTTCGTAAAAACCGAGGATCCAGCTATTAAAAAAATGCCTTATTTCCTGAGAACAGGGGATCGAGGTATTAAAGAGTACCCAATTTCTTGAAATCTGAGGATCCACGTATTAAAAAAATGCCTTATTTCGTAAAAACCGAGGATCCAGCTATTAAAAAATGCCTCATTTCCTGAAGACCAGACGTCGAAGCAGTGAAAATATGCCCCCATTTCCTGGAAACCGAAGATTGTGGTATTGAAGAATGCCTCATTTTCTTCGGACCAGGCATTAGAGTAATAAAAAAAAANAACATCGTCGAAGATCGAAAATAATAATAATAATAAAATAGATTTTTCTATATCCGGATACAAGCTTAATTGTTTAAATTTAACCTGGCATTTAGAACTTATGCTTTTTAATTGGACTACGTCAAAGGCCGTAGTCACGTGATACGGAGGCTGTAATAATTAGACAATGCCAGGTTTGAGATTACAAACCATTCCCTTGGGACGTGAAACTAAACGTTCACCTATTACCTGTGCTAAATGTTACAAAGATCTATATCTAAATCATATTTTCAAGCACCGGAAAAAAGTCTATTTATATTAATTTTAAAGCATAAAATTTTATTTATACGCTTTAAAATTCTCAAAAAGATTATTAAATGATCTACTATCAACAGAAATTTCCAAAAATAATAATAATTTTCTCCAAAGAGAAAGAGAAAGCGAGAGAGCGAGAGAGAGAGAGAGAGAGAGGGGGGCATTTGTAATGTCTCTAACGCTTAGATTTTTATATATTTAACAGGTATTTTTTGTTATTTTTAATTATTTTTACACGTATTTAATTATTTTTATCTATTCGCATCAATTTTTTCCATATAATCAAACAAATACACCTTCAATTATATTGATAAACTCTCTCTTTTTCCGCATCAATCCGAGTGGAAGATGATGATGATGATGATAATTTTATTCGAAATTTTCGTAAATTTTACGATATATTTTTTAAACAAAAACTTAAGTAACATTCTAGAATTATATTTAAATGATTTAAAGTTAAATAGTATTTAATACGAACCAAAAAGTTAAACATTTCTACTATCATTTGACTATTAAATTCGACATTAATTATATTTTAAAAGAAAGAAATTAAAATTTCCTAGAGAAATTTAATTGAATTTTTAAAAATAACTGTTGATTATCGAGTATCATTTTCCACATCGTCCATAAAAGAATTTCCTTTTTTAAAAAAAATCCTTCACTAATTGGAAATTTAAGATGTTTCTGTTGAATATAACAGAAATAGTCTTTAGAAAATAATCATTTGATCAACGTATTTCGATTATTTAAATTAAAATATAAAATTAATGTAAACGTATATATAGATTTTTCGTTAACGAAGATAGATTTTTATCAATTAAGAAGTGACTTGTTTGAGTTTTTAGTAATTAAACTAATGTTAGTCACTTGGGGGTTGGTTGCATCGTTCCACTTGTGCTAAGTAAAAAGCGATTAAACTATAGGAAAAAAAAAATAATAATAATTATTCCAATTACCGAATAAATGATCAAGCTTCAGTTAATTATATAATTAACTTTATACCATTAAATCACCAAGTAATTAATTCTAATTCAATCCTTTATATAGTTTTTATCCCATCGTCGTGTTAAGGATGCGGATCAAACTCGCGCTTCTAACGTTTAAATTTATTATTATTATATATATATTTATTTAATTTAGAATACTTGGTAAAATATTTAAATTATTAAATATATATATACCTGGATTCTATCCTCTGGTAAATCCGTCTTTAACGATAACATTTCTCGAGCATATACATCTGGATAATGAGCTTCTTTAAACGCCTTCTCCAATTCTTCCAGTTGGTAACTTGTAAAAATCGTTCTATAAAGAAGAAAGGAAGGAAGGAAGAGGGGGAAAAAAGAATATACTCGGTTAAAAAATAAAATAAAAATCGATAAAACTTATCGAAATAATTTATTGGGTGCTATGAAATTATGGTAATTTAGGGGGACGAAGTGGAGAGGAGAGGAAATTCCAACCCCGTTTCTCACGAGCTTTACTCTATTGAAAACTAAATTCTTTACCAGTTGAGGTTTTTTTTATGATCTCTCTCTCTCTCTCTCTCCCTGACATCCCTACATAATTAAATATATAAATTAAAAACCAGTATTTAGAATTTATAATTATCTTAGGTTAAAAGGTCACATGTTTCGTTATATACCACCCTTTTCTTTGTTATATATTATATTTAAAAAAAATGCAATTTATTACTAAATTTACTCGATTTAATTACATAAAATCGAGAATTTAAGTTCGAATTAAACGCATTCCGTACGAGATTATAACATTAACAACACTCCATAAAGATAACAACCGTAACACCTCCCTTAATAGGTAAAGAGTGTGAGTTTTTTTGTGAGTTTATAGATAAGATCTCGTTTATTTTACATGTAACCTATTATAAATGTTGTTCCCATCGATAAATATCCCATATATTCTATATTATTCCATCAACAATGCATTCCTAATGCAAATAACAATAACGTGTTAGTGTCAATCTAGCAGTGTTATCCTTTAATTAATATTAAATAATAATTTCTGGTGATAACGGGAAGGGGGAAGAAGAGGTGGAGAATTTTTAGAATTATTATTATTATTATTTTTTATTATTATTATTGTTATAGAAGGGCGTTACGGGAAAAAAAGATAGACGTCAAAATTATTTGCCACTCGTCACTCGTCGTTTCCAACCTTTATTACTTGTGTAAACACGACAGACAATTAATGCCTGGTGTAAGTCACGGTTGGTGGCNAAAAAAGCTCCATTTCTTAAGAATTAAAGATCCACGTATTAAAAAATGCCTTATTTCGTAAAAATCGAGGATCCAGCTATTAAAAAAATGCCTTATTTCCTGAAGACCAGACGTCGAAGCAATGTAAAAAAAATGCCCTCATTTCTTGAGAACCGGGAATCGAGCTATTAAATAATGCCTCATTTCGGGAAAACCGAGGATCCACGTATTAAAAATGCCTCATTTCCTGAAGACCAGACATCGAAGTAATGAAAAATTGCCCAATTTCCTAAAGAATAAGAAGTGATTTCCAGAGGAATAAGGATCATAGACTATAAATAAATGTCAATTTCCTGAGGAATAGAAACGAGAACCACGAAAAAGATCTTATTTCATAAGAAGTAGATACTAAGAGCTATATATATATATATATAAATTCTTAAAGAATAAAAATTATAGTCTATGCAAAATCTTATTTCTTAAGGAGTAGACTGAAATATAGAAAATATCTCATCATCTTAAGAAGAAGAAATAATAAAATATATAGAAAATATCGCATTTCAATTATGTAATTACAAAAAAGACCCATTCATAATTAATCCTGTGTCTAAAACGTTCTATTGAATTGACTAAAAAATGGAAAAAAATTTTTGCCAATTATAAATTTTTTCCAATTTTGAATTGTGCTTCGTTATCTCCGTTCGAATAGAAAGCTATTAAAATAATAATCTCTAAAAGAAACAGTATTCTCTCTCTCTCCATTCCACTTTACTAACATCAAAGCACTAAGAGAAAAGGGGTAGAGATCGTAGTTACGCTCCAAAGAAAGTGGATAAAGACAGCTCATTGGCCACACACCATCCAATTAAAGGTTCCCTGCCAACATGCTTTGCTGTAGTGATTTCATTAGCTGATTGCTTTCTTCTCTTGTCATCAATCCCACCCTCCAATGATTTTAGGCATTGATAGGGATTTTGATACAACATAAATACATGGATACACAATGTATAAACTCTTGTACAAATTTCAATTATGGTATCGTTACGAGCTTCCTACACGTTAATATTTCTTATTTATATTAAATCTAATGTAATATTAAAATTAATTATTTAAAGCCTTCTATATATTTTATAATCATTAATTAAGTAAATTTTCTAAGACAATCTCGTGTTATCAATTTGTATAGAGTTTCGATAGGTTCTCAACTTAGTCTATAGAAGACGAAGACGTTCTATAATAAGAAACTGTAAAAAAATATTCATTATAAACAACTTATAAACTAGCTTTTCTCGTTTACTAATCGTTTCTTTCGTCATCAAAATGATTGCCTATCGACAAAAGTCGTCGCGTAGTCACTAACGTCAATGTACTATACCTTAACTAGTGTTTTTTAAATCGATAAACGACTATTCCTCTTTTAGAAAAAAATCTTTTTTTTTTTAGATTTTAAAATCTAATACAATACAATTTTGTACGTGATAGATTTTAAAAAATAATCCAAAAAAATTCTATTTAATTTATAATTTTAAAAATAATTTCTCTTTCTCTCTCTCTTATTTTTTTGTTATTCAACATCCGAATAGAAAAGATAAAGATGACATCTTATCCTTTACGGATCAGAATAAGAAAAAAATAATCTTTACTGAGAGACGACAGAACTAGAAATCATTTAACTCGAAGTACCGGTTGACTATCATTAGAGGACATAGCGCTAATGATGTGCCCTTGGGTCACATACTCTCGTACCATTAACAGAGGACGTACCCAGCAACCAGGGTGCACACGAACTCATGTCACCTTCCTTGGCACTCTTCAGGATACTATCCGGTAGAGGAAGCGAATGCCGCACCATAGCACCATACAAACCATATTCGGCCATTATGGTGCTCTTGCCCCAGCATTTCTCCGTCTTTCTCCATTTAGCACGTCTGTTTTGGAACCAAACCTGTAAAGAAAAAAAAACACAATATATATATATATATATATATCATTAAATAAAATCATTTATATATTAAATAAACATACCATGCTATAATTCAAGAACCTCGTAGTTTATTATTAAATGGAAGAGGAAGAGATACCTTCGACCCAATACAAGAAAAGTAAGATACGCTGATTTAAATATTATATTAAATAAGTATCAATTTTTATATAAATCTTATCAATTTGTAGTAGAAGTAACGAAAGATTCTTCAACCAATTTCTTTAAAATTAGTTTGCAAGTTTGAAATTTCTTTCATATTCATGTCGTATTCATTGCATTCATCTATCGTATCTTTTCGTATATTTTTTGGGACTTCCTTTCGACGTGTCCTTGGGCATTTTGGAGAAATTGGCGTCCAATGTAATCTCATTCTATGTCCGAATCAATGATAGGAAATTGGCAAGCGAGTGGAATATTAAGCAATCTACAATCATGAGTTTGTTACCATGGTTACATACCCCAACCTTGTGGAACAAAATAAAAAAATTTGGGCTAGAGATTAAGGGTGTCATCCTTAAAATTATTTTATTTTATCAATTATGCCCTATATTTTACCCCAATACAAGTCTATACTTATTGTGATTTATACATATAATTTGTTTTCTTGTATAAATGTATAAACAACGACCACTGGAAACAGATATCTTTGTGATTTTATATGCAGAATGGGTTAAAAGTCTTCATATAAAATACAGACCACCCGAAGGCACGTGTGATATATGTGTGTAGTGTAACGTCTGACGTGTTAACATGCATTTATACGTGCATACAGTGAAATGTTACAGCACATAGATCATATAAGTGATTATATAATAAAGTAAATCCTTTGTCTACGCGTGGAGACTTTTAAATCATCTTTTACATGTTTTTATTGTGTGCTATTATATTGATCATTCTGGTATTAAACATTATAATCGTATTTTCTTATAAATTAGCGATGAAATATCATTAGAATATAATGAAATTCTTTAATTAATCGTGGGCCTTCCTCTGAAAAGTCTTGGAGTTTTGTAGAAAGGAGGACATATGAATGAAGGTTGAAGGCTTAAATAAGGCTAATTAATACTTAATTAATTGATAAATAATCTTGGATAACGTCTGAATATCAATTCCTTCTAAAAAATTTTTATAAAACTAAAATTAAATTAATAAAACTAGTTACACCCGGGAGAATATCACTTAAATAAGATTGCTTAATTTAGACCTGTGTCTCTTAAAGTGTGGTACGCATACCCCTTGAAAGGTCTCCTTCAGGGAGTACCACACTATAACACTAGAGAATTTGCCTTATAACCTCGAAAGATCCTCTGAGAATACGCATACATTTAAGGAGTTTAAACTTATCCTTGTATAAGTTTAAACTCTTTAATAATACGTTTCGATATAGAAGAAACCCAGCTTACCAGCTATTGAGTAAATATCATCATCAACGTAAGAGTATTTATATCATTTATTTTTAATTATACGAGTATTTTATCATCTTTAATACATCTTTATCAATTCAATCCGGAGCATCATCCGCATCTTCTTAAGTTTTTTTCTAATTCATCCGAAGAAAAATCGAGTTTTATAGTTCGATTTAACGATTTTTTAAAATCGGAGAGTGTAATAAAACGTCGGAATTAAAGATTTTTAGGGATTTTACACACCGCTGAACCAAATAATTCATCATCATACCGTTTAAATAGTAACTAAAAGTGTATAAAGTCGACCCCAACACTGTTGATTTTTCCGTTTTATATGAATTCCATGTTGTACGAGTCACTTAGATTTTACAAACACATGTGCCGGGTTGTGAACGTCTCACGTATTTGTAAAATCTAAGTGACTCGTACAACATGGAATTCATATAAAACGGAAAAATTAACAGTGTTATAGGTGGGTCAACTGTATAAGTCGATAATGATTTACGTAGATAAATTTTAATTATAAAAGTATAAAATTTTGATAGAAAAGAAGAAGAAGGAAAAAAATATATAAAAAAATCTCCCGTTCTAGATTAAAAAGTTTGTTATTTTTGTAGTAGTTTCAATTTAATGTTTTGTAGTGAGACGTCATCAACCATCAACACAGTTGAAAGCTGTCAGCGATACCATTTAACAACGGTCGACTTTATTAAATCCCCAAGCACAAAAGGAACCAACACTTGATTTAAAAAGAACCAAGTTGAAGAAAAAATGTTAGGAAGTAAAGCTGTCAGTGCAACTTTCCTTTACCACAAAGTTTTAGAAGAGAAAGAAGGAAAAAAAAAATCAAAGAATGTCGCAGATGGTTTCAGGCTCACCTAAACTCCAACAACGACATCCCGTCTGCTGTTCCCCAGGGATGAGTCTAGTTGTGAGGCCAGGGGCAACACAGCAGCTAGTCCATTAGGTTTATTAGTTCTATAGCGGAAATCACCGAGGTGTTGTTAGCAGAGGTGTAACAATCGTATCGAGTACAGGTTGGAAGTAGCGTTAGTCGGATCATACGATAACCACCGATACCATCGAATCCACTTAATAATCGATAATTCGACGACGTTTACAAATTAAATAATTATATTCTCTAATTGTATTAGAGTAAAATTAACTAGTATATTCTTTATTAAAGTGTGTGTAGAACGGATGCGATTGATAATGCCGCCATGCATAAAGTTATCATTGATTAGTCATTGAATCGATGTAGATGAATAGAAAATCGGAATTAGAAAGATTTCGTATATCGTCGATGAGTAAAAATACTCAATTAAAAATTTTTGCCTGGTCCGTCCGCATTGAAAGCGGTCCAAAGCAGCCGTTTCCTACTCTACCAAGACGAGCCGTTGGCATGGTAACGACGACAGAGTCGTTGTCAACCTCCCACTCTCTCTCTCTCTCACTCTCCTCCTTTCACCGGACACATTGCCTTATTCATGCCGGTCCACTGAACGTCCAGAATGCCTTGCGCATCTCGGCACGTGACAACGGCGGTAACGTGCCAATAATTAGAAACTTTCCTCCCCCTTCAACGATCCCCACCAACGTTCGATTGAAAGGATTCAGTCCGGAATACTTACCTCCCCCACATCACATACGAAAACTGTAGATGATCAGCTATAAGAAATCCTATTTTGTTAATAGTTCGACGATGGGAACGTTTAAACATTAAATAATATTTTTTTTTTCCTCTCATCTGTCTGTAGAGCCACGTAACCGGAATTTAATTTCAGACGTCACTCGCAAGACGACGTCACGACCAACGTTGCGAGACGTCAAGACAAGGCCCTAAGGCTAGGAAATAATAAGGGTAAAGCATCTTGAGCGTCAGACAGTAAGGTACGATATTATTACTCCTTTAATTAACGGGTCTTCGGACGGACGAAGTGGAAGGATGAGCCACCATTTTAAATAGTTTCGAGCACTCGTTCTATAATTAACCGCCGAGCTTCAAAGGAACGGAGGAAAGAGAAGGGAAGGGGGGAAGACACTTCTTTTCGAAGCTCGGTTTTGGCTGGGCGAGCAGAAATTGATGAAATGTGAATAAAATAGGTCTGAAAAGCAATTAAGAGCAAATTACTGAGTGCATCTGGCCGTATAATTTGTTGGCCATCCACTCAAAGATGGTAGCTTTTACTCGACCAAATTACGACGAACGAAACAAGTTGAGGCGAACGTAGTCTAGTCACGTTTGTTTCGGGTCGGAAACTCCTCCACTATCACGGTTCTCCACCGGGATGCAAGTTTTTCCTTCCCCCCTCCCATTTCTTCTCCGTTTCTAAGGTTTGTTACAATGCATCCCTCTCCTCCCCCCCTTCCCAGTGAGTGACAGAATACCGTTCGGATTCGAGATGAGGAGTTTAAAAGTAATGAATTAATTTGTGAAAGTTTACAAAACGATTTAAAGAAGATAACGAGGAATAAAATTTTCTACGTTAAATTATTCTTTTATGTATTATATAAATAGTGGAAAAAAAAAAAACTTTTTATTCCGTTTCGTTTACGTAAATTTCATAACGAGAAAGACTTTCTACCATTAAAAATATGAAAACTGGATAATTAATTAACTCGATACGTAAATTGAAAAGAGAAAAGATATCTGTTGAATAAATCCCGGCATCGTTGACACATTGGGGAGATGTTCTCACTAAACCGTATGACAAATCGGATTAGTTTAAGGTGACATCGTGCAAACCGATCGACGACATTTGCATAATGTATCGTAGATTACAGGAAAAAATTGAAAAATATAATTAAAATAAACGTTTCAAATCGTCTTAAAAATGTCATTTATATCGTTCGGACACGTTTTTTTTGTTTAATTTTTCCGTATTTTACGTCCGAAACCATCAAAAACTAATATAAACTCCTGTAAATCATACTTCCCCGCAAAGCATACGTGTTTAGTTGTGAAGCAGACTCGTTTCTAGGATAACAAAAGAAATCAACTTTAATTTAAAAATGAATAATCAGGATAGAGAAAAGCGTGTTTTAATATTAACTAAAGGTTATTCTTGATTAAATACGACAAAGTTATTATCAATATTTATTTATTTGACAATGTAAACACTCGGAGTAAACATCATCATTAATAAAAAATGGATTTTTTTCAGAGGAAATTAATTCCTTAATTTATGATTACTTACGTCTTTATAAAATCATTAAATTTATTAAATATTCTATGTAATAACTTTTATATTTCGTTAAGAATTATAAAAAATAAATGAAGATTTTAAAGGAACAAAGCTAACTTTTTCTTTCTGAAACTCGCCTTGTTGATAAGAAAAAAATAATAATAATATAATAAAAAATATATTATATATTTTTAAAATAAAGACATATCCTCTGTATTATTTTAGATTTTCATCAATCTTTCAAGAAATCGTAAAGATAAAAACTATTTCTTCTCTAATTTCTTACAAAGTTGATGATCATCTAATACAATAACATAGAAAAACTGTTGATTTTTTTTTAAAAAAATTAAACATAAGAAGCTTGTTTATATTTTTAAGAAAACAAATCAACATTCTCTTACATTTTATCAAAAAAAAAGAGAGATGAATGAGTTTTCCTCTTATATATATATATATTTTTTACCAGAAAAAGAAAATAAATATAAGTGGGCCAATAGGGAAAGATATAGGAAAGAAAAACTTTGTATTAATCTAAACAAATATCTTACTCGGTATAAATGTGCATAACTAAATTATAATGGAACCCAATTTGAATGTAGTATGTGCAAGAGCCCGATCCCTGCCATTTTCTTTTATATATATAATATTTAATACGAATTCGGATGTAGTAGAATCGTTACACTAATGTTCTACCCACAATCGAATTATCTTTGGGATCGTCTGTCGGAATTACGGACAAAGTTTTCCGTCAGGAATCAATTGATTGGAAGAGTGTTTCCGGGATATTTCCGGATAACTGACCGCAATTTCCAAATCATGTTCTTCACTTGATTTCATCTCCGATGTTTCGGAAGTAGATCCATCTTATTCTCCTTTTCTAGACGACTATTCTTTTATCTTAACTATCGGGCTCTTTCACGGATTACTGAAGATGAATTTATCGATTTCGTAATTATATTTCGTATAAAATCCTACCTTACTGTTTAAATAAATAAATAATTGTCATTAAAAAAAATACATAGTGATCGTGGTATTCTCTATTCAATTTATGTTGTTAATTAAATTAATTAAGGATAGAATTACATAATTATAAGTCCTGATATGGATCGTTTTTTTTAAATTTAAAATTATAAAGATGCATTAAATAATTTATTATTTTTTTAAAGTTTAAAAATATCTGCAGAATTTAAGTGATTATCGATCAAAGATAAGCAGGAATCGGTAAAGAAGTCGAAGTAAGAAGAGTTCAATAGATAGAATTAATAGGCGGCCACCCCTTGGTGACAAGAAGAATGGATGCAACCCACACCTGAAACTTTTCCTCGTCTACCTCATTACTCGCCATTTAGTTAATTAGACTGAGGTAGGTACGACAACCAGTGTCCAAATCCCTAGAGGACCCGGTTACCTGCTCTTTTCGCCCCCACTTTCGCATTACCCCCTTGCACGATAGGAAGAGAAAGAAAAAAAAAACAAACCAGTAGTCTCCTCTGTGACCCTCTAATGTCTGCAGTGCGGAACTACACACTAACTAACTTGTTAAGGCGATTACTCTATGAGTTAGTTCGAAAAATCACCGTCAATACGCTAGATGTGACCAAGGATGCGTAAGTAATTGGATCCTGTGAGACTTAAAATCTTTTATTGAGTTTCAATTAAGGAATCTGTTTTTAACGTCCTCTTTCTCTTTTCTTTCTTAACTTGTAAATTAGGTAAATTGTTTGATGAGTCGACAACATCCAATCGCCATTTTTATCACAGCATCATCCAATTTCATCCGATTGACACTTAAACATCCTATTTTCTATGGTAAACAACGGCCTAATCGTTTAAAAAAAAAAAGGTTATTTTTCTACAGAAACATGAGTAATTTAACATCGTCGAAGATCGAAAATAATAATAATAATAAAATAGATTTTTCTATATCCGGATACAAGCTTAATTGTTTAAATTTAACCTGGCATTTAGAACTTATGCTTTTTAATTGGACTACGTCAAAGGCCGTAGTCACGTGATACGGAGGCTGTAATAATTAGACAATGCCAGGTTTGAGATTACAAACCATTCCCTTGGGACGTGAAACTAAACGTTCACCTATTACCTGTGCTAAATGTTACAAAGATCTATATCTAAATCATATTTTCAAGCACCGGAAAAAAGTCTATTTATATTAATTTTAAAGCATAAAATTTTATTTATACGCTTTAAAATTCTCAAAAAGATTATTAAATGATCTACTATCAACAGAAATTTCCAAAAATAATAATAATTTTCTCCAAAGAGAAAGAGAAAGCGAGAGAGCGAGAGAGAGAGAGAGAGAGGGGGGCATTTGTAATGTCTCTAACGCTTAGATTTTTATATATTTAACAGGTATTTTTTGTTATTTTTAATTATTTTTACACGTATTTAATTATTTTTATCTATTCGCATCAATTTTTTCCATATAATCAAACAAATACACCTTCAATTATATTGATAAACTCTCTCTTTTTCCGCATCAATCCGAGTGGAAGATGATGATGATGATGATAATTTTATTCGAAATTTTCGTAAATTTTACGATATATTTTTTAAACAAAAACTTAAGTAACATTCTAGAATTATATTTAAATGATTTAAAGTTAAATAGTATTTAATACGAACCAAAAAGTTAAACATTTCTACTATCATTTGATTATTAAATTCGACATTAATTATATTTTAAAAGAAAGAAATTAAAATTTCCTAGAGAAATTTAATTGAATTTTTAAAAATAACTGTTGATTATCGAGTATCATTTTCCACATCGTCCATAAAAGAATTTCCTTTTTTAAAAAAAATCCTTCACTAATTGGAAATTTAAGATGTTTCTGTTGAATATAACAGAAATAGTCTTTAGAAAATAATCATTTGATCAACGTATTTCGATTATTTAAATTAAAATATAAAATTAATGTAAACGTATATATAGATTTTTCGTTAACGAAGATAGATTTTTATCAATTAAGAAGTGACTTGTTTGAGTTTTTAGTAATTAAACTAATGTTAGTCACTTGGGGGTTGGTTGCATCGTTCCACTTGTGCTAAGTAAAAAGCGATTAAACTATAGGAAAAAAAAAATAATAATAATTATTCCAATTACCGAATAAATGATCAAGCTTCAGTTAATTATATAATTAACTTTATACCATTAAATCACCAAGTAATTAATTCTAATTCAATCCTTTATATAGTTTTTATCCCATCGTCGTGTTAAGGATGCGGATCAAACTCGCGCTTCTAACGTTTAAATTTATTATTATTATATATATATTTATTTAATTTAGAATACTTGGTAAAATATTTAAATTATTAAATATATATATACCTGGATTCTATCCTCTGGTAAATCCGTCTTTAACGATAACATTTCTCGAGCATATACATCTGGATAATGAGCTTCTTTAAACGCCTTCTCCAATTCTTCCAGTTGGTAACTTGTAAAAATCGTTCTATAAAGAAGAAAGGAAGGAAGGAAGAGGGGGAAAAAAGAATATACTCGGTTAAAAAATAAAATAAAAATCGATAAAACTTATCGAAATAATTTATTGGGTGCTATGAAATTATGGTAATTTAGGGGGACGAAGTGGAGAGGAGAGGAAATTCCAACCCCGTTTCTCACGAGCTTTACTCTATTGAAAACTAAATTCTTTACCAGTTGAGGTTTTTTTTATGATCTCTCTCTCTCTCTCTCTCCCTGACATCCCTACATAATTAAATATATAAATTAAAAACCAGTATTTAGAATTTATAATTATCTTAGGTTAAAAGGTCACATGTTAGGTTATATACCACCCTTTTCTTTGTTATATATTATATTTAAAAAAAATGCAATTTATTACTAAATTTACTCGATTTAATTACATAAAATCGAGAATTTAAGTTCGAATTAAACGCATTCCGTACGAGATTATAACATTAACAACACTCCATAAAGATAACAACCGTAACACCTCCCTTAATAGGTAAAGAGTGTGAGTTTATAGATAAGATCTCGTTTATTTTACATGTAACCTATTATAAATGTTGTTCCCATCGATAAATATCCCATATATTCTATATTATTCCATCAACAATGCATTCCTAATGCAAATAACAATAACGTGTTAGTGTCAATCTAGCAGTGTTATCCTTTAATTAATATTAAATAATAATTTCTGGTGATAACGGGAAGGGGGAAGAAGAGGTGGAGAATTTTTAGAATTATTATTATTATTATTTTTTATTATTATTATTGTTATAGAAGGGCGTTACGGGAAAAAAAGATAGACGTCAAAATTATTTGCCACTCGTCACTCGTCGTTTCCAACCTTTATTACTTGTGTAAACACGACAGACAATTAATGCCTGGTGTAAGTCACGGTTGGTGGCCAGTCAATATTTATAGTTCATTGTTGTTCAGGTGTCTGACTGATGCAACGGGAGTGAAAGAGACAACCTTTGATCTCTGCATTGACCCGTACCTATTCATTCAATTCGATTCTCCCCCTAAATGCTGTATGCACGGTTGGAGTGATCGATATTAAAGGTATTAATCAATTAAAAATAAACGAATAGTTTGCTCGAAAATCGATCGATCCCTTTTATTTTTATTGTTAAGTAATGACGTTTGTTTAAATGTGTTCGCTTCGTTAAACGCATTTGTTTGATTATAAATGTTTTAATGTGCTCGAAAATAAACATGATTTTCGGCATGTGTTTCTTTTAATTATTAAATAGTACAGGTGCTTTACACGGAGCCGGAATCAAATTTGTTGTGGCCATAACGATAACATATAAAAGGCCCTTTCCTTTTATTAAATAATGATACGTGCGTAAATGTTAAGCCCTGAACTAAAACAGACCCTTTTCCTCCACCAAACAATGATACATATATTGATATAAATGCGAGGCCCTGAGCTATAACAAATAATAGGCCCTTTCCCTCTACCAAACAATGACACATGTATAAATGGGAAGCCCTCATAACGCGAAATCCTTAGCTTATATGCAGAGCCGGATCTTTGTACATTCAACAGTTATCTGCGTGGATAAAGAATGCAAATAGACGAAGAAAAATGTAAATAATCATTTATTTAATAATATAATTGTAAGAGAAGAGAAGAAGAATGCCGTATAAACTCAGTTATCAGCAACACAACACTCTTCAGTTATAGAAACAACGAAGAATGCTACCCTATTCGTAATTATTTAACGTATACAAAGAAAATTACGTCCATAGTTAACGTACTGTACAGTATACAGACAACGAAATGAACCACCCCATATACAGAGCCGTATTTAAGCTTAAAAAAGTACAGCTTAGGGCCCGGTTCCATTCACAAAGATTATTATTTGGGTAAGGATGAAGGGTCTCTCGTACAATACAAGTTTAAATCCGGCTCTGAGGCATAAACAACGGAAAATAAGGTACATTTATTTACATAAAAATACGATTGAAATTTAGTTATTTGAGTAGATAAGTGGAAAATTATAAAACGTAGTCAAAGTCAGACACAACAAGTAAATTGCATTGTGGAATGCAAACAAAAGAAAGGAACCAATCGACACGTGTCTTTCAGGAACCAAGAAGACCGTCGTCCTTATGTAAATAATGGTGATTGTGAACTTAATTGTTTTTCTCGAGATGGACAGGGGGTGGTGTTGTTAGAGTCACGCTATAGTTTGATCGATCGACCCCGTTTCTACATCAAACCCTCTTCATCATTTGTAAATAAATTTAAAATAAATAATTAAAATGTAATTAATTTTAGGCATTCCTCGGTAATATAGATATAGAATACAATTATTAAAAGCTTACCTGTGCCTTCTTTTCTTTTTCTTTTTTTTATTCAGAGAACCGACGTCGTCGGATAGATTATTTTTGCTGCTATAATCTGTGACGAGTCCTGAAATAAAAACGTGTCAAAGGTCATCCACTGCTTAGTTTATTTAATTAATTTATAAGTAAAGAATATCGAACGATGATCGATCATCTGTTGTTAAATTTGATCGTTTCTAACGCATAAAAATTGCTTTTTTTTACCATTCTAATGCATAAATCTTATCTTTATTAATTAAAAATCATTATTAAATTGCCCGAAAACAATTTTTATAACTATTTTGATCACATTCTAGCTCTTAAAATCAAGCATTTTGATCACTTTTTGGCTCTTAAAAATCATATTCGCAAGCATTTTGATCACTTTTTGGCTCTTAAAAATCATATTCGCAAGCATTTTGATCAGTTTTTGACTCTTAAAAATCATATTCGCAAGCATCCCGATCACTTTTTGACTCTTAAAAATCACATATAAAAGCATTCTGGCTCTTAAAAATGTCTTTTACAATGGTTTTGAACGATTAAAAATGATTTTTTCTGACTAATCTTATCATTTTCCGATGCTGAAAAATCATCATCAGCCAACGATTTGCACAAAGAACATAATTCAAAGCGTGTAAACAAAGTAGATAATTAACGAATGTATAAGAGCTTTGGGTAATTTATCGTTATTGGCAAAGACGAAACAAGAAAACAATTTAATATTTTAGTGAACGAATGAGGCGAGTGAGATGTGGTCATTTCCTAACATTTAGAAATTAGGCCTAATTCTTTTCTATTCTCGTTTAGTTGAGATTCTTCTTTTCCATCGATAGAGAAAAATAGACATTCCGGATGACGTGAGGATAATAAACGACCAGAGAATCTTCTATAACGTGCAGAAGCGACATACCAAGTTCACAATATACCCAGGGATTGGGGGAAGTAAATCGGTCGGGCTTTGGTGAAGACCAAAATATTCCATTAATGTGGTGACTTACTAATGGATCGGTAATTTAATTATCAGCCAGTCCTTTTTCTCTCGGTCACCCTCATTCCTGATCTATGCGACTGGCTAATAGCGTTTCTAGCGTGCTTCTCCATCACCCCTAATATCCTCTGCTCACGACAATACCGCTCTCTTATTAGGTCGCAGCGCAACCGATCTCTTCACACGAAAGTTACTTCGCATCCTGCCATCGCCCAAGATGGCGATTTCTGCATTTTAACAGGTTCTCTTCTATGAATGGGTTTGATAGAGCATGATTTTAAATTAAAATTTCCTCCGTCTGCTGCTACCGAAACTTCTCTTCGTGTAAGACAAAAAAAAATTGAGAATTTCTTCCTCTCTTCAATCGATTTTAAATGTTTAAAATTACGCGAATTTATATACGTTTTGTCTCTACTAATTAACAGTATTTTTTTTTAATAATTGTCTTATTTATGCCTCACTAAATTTGTTACTACTACTTACTTGTCGCCTGGTTATGTCCCTTTACACTTTACTGCTCGTTACTCTTTATGTTCCCACAATTACTGTCCGTCTGTTTGTGTTACTTCACACTTACTTCCCACTTATTTATGTTCCTCCACAACTACTGTCTACACCAATTTATCTTTACTTATATAGGAGCATAAATAAGTAGTTAGTAAGTGTAAAGTAATACAAACAGACGGACAGTAACTGTGGGAATACACTTACATCTACACCTACTTGTGTTTCTATATCTTTATATACATAGAAGCATAAATAAATGTAGACAGTAGTTGTGGAGGAACATAAATAAGTGGGACTTCTCTTGTTTATGTTCCATACTCACTATAAATCTCTATGTTTCCTTCTTATTTACGTCTTATTGTCCTCCTAGTTATGCTCTATTCCCCTTATTAAAGATTTTTAGTGTCGACTCCTTAATAACGTGATAAGTTCTTCTCTGATGCTATATAGAGGAGTCTATCAATCTAATTGTCACGCATAGAAGACTGATTGTTAATAAATGACAAAGATTTATACGTTATCAAGCATAAAAATTACTATTAAAGCCATACTTTATTCACGAGAAGAAGAAGAAGAAGAAGAAGAAGAAAAACTCGACCCCATTCAACTCGATAACCAATCGTAGTCACGAAATAAGACGAATTGGTTATCTGAAAGGTAGATATGTATCTTTTATGTCCATTCTTGTGAAAATATTCGTCCATTAGATCCACCAAAGCGTGGGTGGAGGCTGCAGATGAGCCAAACCACTCCCTCTTTCACCACTATTCCCCTTATATTTCTCACTCCAAGCTATTTGGGGCAATCGAAAACGTTTATCTTTCAATATGTGTCCTATCCGTGACGTATCCAAAAATGAAATTGAGGGATTAATGCCATTTTCTTTCACTAGAAATCCAAGTTAAGCCGATTTAGGATTAAGAACGACGACAGAAAAAAAAGAAAGAAAAACGTTTCCCCCTAAAAAAATCGAATATTTTAGGGAGATTTTAGTAGGATTAATGTATCAAAAACTTTGTATATATAAAATTCCTTTTGTTTTGGTAGATTTTAATTAATTTTCCCGATTTTAAAATCAACGTTTGTTTAATTGGTGAAAGTAATTTTGTTTAATTGTTTTAAATTCAGCATTTTCATAAAACTCATTTAATGAAGAATGTTTCGAACGGGATTTAGAATAAATTCCATTAAAATTTTATAATCATTAATTAAGTTTCGAATTAAAACTTGATATATAAATTTNTTATGTTGTTAATTAAATTAATTAAGGATAGAATTACATAATTATAAGTCCTGATATGGATCGTTTTTTTTAAATTTAAAATTATAAAGATGCATTAAATAATTTATTATTTTTTTAAAGTTTAAAAATATCTGCAGAATTTAAGTGATTATCGATCAAAGATAAGCAGGAATCGGTAAAGAAGTCGAAGTAAGAAGAGTTCAATAGATAGAATTAATAGGCGGCCACCCCTTGGTGACAAGAAGAATGGATGCAACCCACACCTGAAACTTTTCCTCGTCTACCTCATTACTCGCCATTTAGTTAATTAGACTGAGGTAGGTACGACAACCAGTGTCCAAATCCCTAGAGGACCCGGTTACCTGCTCTTTTCGCCCCCACTTTCGCATTACCCCCTTGCACGATAGGAAGAGAAAGAAAAAAAAAAAACAAACCAGTAGTCTCCTCTGTGACCCTCTAATGTCTGCAGTGCGGAACTACACACTAACTAACTTGTTAAGGCGATTACTCTATGAGTTAGTTCGAAAAATCACCGTCAATACGCTAGATGTGACCAAGGATGCGTAAGTAATTGGATCCTGTGAGACTTAAAATCTTTTATTGAGTTTCAATTAAGGAATCTGTTTTTAACGTCCTCTTTCTCTTTTCTTTCTTAACTTGTAAATTAGGTAAATTGTTTGATGAGTCGACAACATCCAATCGCCATTTTTATCACAGCATCATCCAATTTCATCCGATTGACACTTAAACATCCTATTTTCTATGGTAAACAACGGCCTAATCGTTTAAAAAAAAAAAGGTTATTTTTCTACAGAAACATGAGTAATTTAACATCGTCGAAGATCGAAAATAATAATAATAATAAAATAGATTTTTCTATATCCGGATACAAGCTTAATTGTTTAAATTTAACCTGGCATTTAGAACTTATGCTTTTTAATTGGACTACGTCAAAGGCCGTAGTCACGTGATACGGAGGCTGTAATAATTAGACAATGCCAGGTTTGAGATTACAAACCATTCCCTTGGGACGTGAAACTAAACGTTCACCTATTACCTGTGCTAAATGTTACAAAGATCTATATCTAAATCATATTTTCAAGCACCGGAAAAAAGTCTATTTATATTAATTTTAAAGCATAAAATTTTATTTATACGCTTTAAAATTCTCAAAAAGATTATTAAATGATCTACTATCAACAGAAATTTCCAAAAATAATAATAATTTTCTCCAAAGAGAAAGAGAAAGCGAGAGAGCGAGAGAGAGAGAGAGAGAGGGGGCATTTGTAATGTC